CAGGGACACATTGTGCAGTGCATGCCACACTGAGAAAGCACAAACACCCTGACAATGTGGAAATGTGTTTCTAGGATGCATCTCTGGGAGGTAAACGTTATCCTGCATGGCTCCCTCCCAGTCAATCTAGAGAAGAAAACAGCCCCGTTCCCACAAGCGCTGATGGGCAGAGGGCCTGCAAATGAAAAGTGCTCTTGAGCCAGTTCAAGTGTTGCCTGGTGTCTGCTGTTTCCTGGGTAACTGGTCAACATTGTTCAATGCAAGGGTTAGAATCTCCCCTTCTCTGGCACCTGATGAGTGAGCCCCTTGAGAGTGCTCTGTCCAAGGGCCTCACAGGGAGAATGATGTGGGTCTTTACATTTAGAGCCAAGAGCCCAGTGTAAGTAAGAGGAAAGGGCGCAAGAATGTTATGCCTCAGGCAGTGAATATAAAATTCCTGGTGACCAACCTTTCAATCTGGGATGTATCCCATCATGATCATCTCACATGTACAAGATTAACCAGCAGGCTCTCATAGGGAAGAATTTCCTAGGTTAATGATACAGACAAATAAGAAGTAACATTGCATGATGTTTTTCTGAGTGGTGCTTAGGAAAACTCTTCTCACACAGTCTCCCTGGTCATGTGGGATCAGGTCCTATCAGGGCTTCCAGGTCCTTGCCAACTCTGAGTGAGACCTGAGTCTCCCCCAGCCTGGATGTGGTGCATCCACTGCCATGAGTCTGCAGTTGAGAAGGAAATTGTCTACGTGAGAAGAGCAAGGACTGCATCTACAGTTTTATGTCTCAGGATAACCTGTACCTGAAACTGACATTCTCATGGTTTCATGTAACGATGTGCACTGCTCAGGGATGTGAGTCTGCCCCACAGCTGATCATTACAAAGGGAAACAATCTCATGTTTCTTCATTTGTTAGTGATGTACTTAATACTTAATTGAACAGCTCCTGAATAATGGTGTCAGCTCCAAACACTATCACAAGGACAGTCACGTTTCAAAAAAAAAAAACAAAAGCAAAAACAAAACAAAACAAACAAATGAACAAACAAAAAAACCAGGAACAATTGAAATACTAGCTTGCAGTGCTATGTAATCTTGGGTAATTTGACAGAAATTCTTATTTAATTGCCCAAGAATACAAATAAATGAAATTCTAGGTAAGATTCCAGAGGAAAGCTTGGTTTAAATATCTTCACAAATATTTTTGAGGAATTATTTTGAGTGAAACCATGCAAAGCATACTTTTTCCATTCCACTACCATTAGAATATGGGAGTCAGGTTTATTTTCAGGTAATGACCACATCGTGTAAAAATTATACATTCACTTATTTCAAAACCTTTTATTGCTTTTTGTGATAATTTAGAACCCAAATTGTCATTTCTAAATGACTAGTAAGTTTCAAAAGGAATCTTCCTATTCTGGGACAACGATGTGGGGTCGAAAGGCTAAGAGAACCACTGCAAGAACCTGGAGAGAAAACAATACAAAATTTTATATTAATAGCATCAGAGAGTGGTGGAAGAAATGAGAACGAAGTGACCTGAAATT